TGGAGTTTGTGTGATCTCCCCCTGTTCTACAGAGTGAGTCAGTGGAATTTGTATGGTCTCCCCCTGTTCTACAGAGTGAGTGGAGTTTGTAAGATCTGCCCTGTTCTACAGTGAGCGAGTGGAGTTTGTATGATCTCCCCCTGTTCTACAGAGTGAGTGTAGTTTGTATGATCTCCCCCTGTTCTACAGAGTGAGTGGAGTTTGTATGATCTCCCCCTGTTCTACAGAGTGAGTGGAGTTTGTATGATATCCCCCTGTTCTACAGAGTGAGTGAGTGGAGTTTGTATAATCTCCCCCTGTTATACAGAGTGAGTGAGTGGAGTTTGTATGATCTCCCCCTGTTCTACAGAGTGAGTGAGTGGAGTTTGTATGATCTCCCCCTGTTCTACATAGTGAGTGGAGTTTGTATGATCTCCCCCTGTTCTACATAGTGAGTGGAGTTTATATGATCTCCCCCTGTTCTACATAGTGAGTGGAGTTTGTATGATCTCCCCCTGTTCTACAGAGTGAGTGGAGTTTGCATGATCTCCCCCTGTTCTACACAGTGAATGGAGTTTGTGTGATCTCCCCCTGTTCTATAGAGTGAGTGAGTGGAGTTTGTATGATCTCCCCCTGTTCTACAGAGTGAGTGAGTGGAGTTTGTGTGATCTCCCCCTGTTCTACAGAGTGAGTTAGTGGAGTTTGTGTGATCTCCCCCTGTTATACAGAGTGAGTGAATGGAGTTTGTGTGATCTCCCCCTGTTCTACAGAGTGAGTGAGTGGAGTTTGTATGATCTCCCCCTGTTCTACAGAGTGAGTGGAGTTTGTATGATCTCCCCCTGTTCTACAGAGTGAGTGAGTGGAGTTTGTGTGATCTTCCCCTGTTCTACAGAGTGAGTGAATGGAGTTTGTATGATCTCCCCCTGTTCTACAGAGTGAGTGAATGGAGTTTGTATGATCTCCCCCTGTTCTACAGAGTGAGTGAGTGGAGTTTGTATGATCTCCCCCTGTTCTACATAGTGAGTGGAGTTTGTGTAATCTCCCCCTGATCCACAGAGAGAGTCCTCGGGGGCCACCATTGTCCTCCCATAGCTAAACAAAAATAAAGACAAAGATTCCCCTATAGCCCGAACAAACTGTTGGTGCAAGTGCTGTTAGCGAGCACCTATGAAAGCCGGTACAGCACACAAGGGGGGTGGGTGGGCGGCACCACGCCCGTCCGCCTTTGTCTCCATCGTGGCAATGTTTTTGCGCACCGCACCAGGTACTCATTTGAGGCTGAGTCGACTTAGGATAGGGCCGGGACCGCTTCAGATAATCGTCACCGGTGTTGGTGGCCGTGAGCGGGAGAATCGAATTCGGACGCTGGGTTCGTAGCGCAGCGTAGCGCTAACAACTGCGCCACCGCTCCCCTATACACACACACACTGATATACACACAGGTATTTATGCACATGTACACACACGGGTATATACACAAACACACATTCACATTCTTTGGTTCTTTCGGTAAAGTCACGTGACTTTCCGGAAAGAAATAAAGAATATAAATGCCTGCATTCACGGAATTTTAAAGTCAAAATTTGACGTATTTATATTTTTACATTTTTATATTTTTACATATTTATATCGGCATACACACGCATTGTGAACATACCCTCTAGACATACAGTGAGGGAAAAAAGTATTTGATCCCCTGCTGATTTTGTACGTTTGCCCACTGACAAAGAAATGATCAGTCTATAACTTTAATGGTAGGTTTATTTGAACAGTGAGAGACAGAATAACAACAAGAAAATCCAGAAAAACGCATGTCAAAAATGTTATAAATGGATTTGCATTTCAATGAGGGAAATAAGTATTTGACCCCTCTGCAAAACATGACTTAGTACTTGGTGGCAAAACCCTTGTTGGCAATCACAGAGGTCAGACGTTTCTTGTAGTTGGCCACCAGGTTTGCACACATCTCAGGAGCGATTTTGTCCCACTCCTCTTTGCAGATTTTCTGAAAGTCATTAAGGCTTCGAGGCTGACGTTTGGCAACTCTAACCTTAAGCTCCCTCCACAGATTTTCTATGGGATTAAGGTCTGGAGACTGGCTAGGCCACTCCAGGACCTTAATGTGCTTCTTCTTGAGCCACTCCTTTGTTGCCTTGGCCGTGTGTTTTGGGTCATTGTCATGCTGGAATACCCATCCGCGACCCATTTTCAATGCCCTGGCTGAGGGAAGAAGGTTCTCACCCAAGATTTGATGGTACATGGCCCCGTCCATAGTCCCTTTGATGCGGTGAAGTTGTCCTGTCCCCTTAGCAGAAAAACACCCCCAAAGCATAATGTTTCCACCTCCATGTTTGACGGTGGGGATGGTGTTCTTGGGGTCATAGGCAGCATTCCTCCTCCTCCAAACACGGCGAGTTGAGTTGATGCCAAAGAGCTCCATTTTGGTCTCATCTGACCACAACACTTTCACCCAGTTGTCGTCTGAATCATTCAGATGTTCATTGGCAAACTTCAGACGGGCATGTATATGTGCTTTCTTGAGCAGGGGGATCTTGCGGGCGCTGCAGGATTTCAGTCCTTCACGGCGTAGTGTTCTTGGTGACTATGGTCCCAGCTGCCTTGAGATCATTGACAAGATCCTCCCGTGTAGTTCTGGGCTGATTCCTCACCGTTCTCATGATCATTGCAACTCCACGAGGTGAGATCTTGCATGGAGCCCCAGGCCGAGGGAGATTGACAGTTCTTTTGTGTTTCTTCCATTTGCGAATAATCGCACCAACTGTTGTCACCTTCTCACCAATCTGCTTGGCAATGGTCTTGTAGCCCATTCCAGCCTTGTGTAGGTCTACAATCTTGTCCCTGACATCCTTGGAGAGCTCTTTGGTCTTGGCCATGGTGGAGAGTTTGGAATCTGATTGATTGCTTCTCTGGACAGGTGTCTTTTATACAGGTAACAAGCTGAGATTAGGAGCACTCCCTTTAAGAGTGTGCTCCTAAACTCAGCTCGTTACCTGTATAAAAGACACCTGGGAGCCAGAAATATTTCTGATTGAGAGGGGGTCAAATACTTATTTCCCTCATTAAAATGCAAATTAATTTATAACATTTTTGACATGCGTTTTTCTGGATTTCGTTGTTGTTATTCTGTCTCTCACTGTTCAAATAAGCCTACCATTAAAATTATAGACTGATCATTTCTTTGTCAGTGGGCAAACGTACAAAATCAGCAGGGGATCAAATACTTTTTTCCCTCACTGTAGAGCCCCTGTATAACCTTTTAGACTGTTGGGGAAAGTGCTGTAAAGGCCTGTAACAAGCAGCACTCCCGGCCACCTTTGTCTCTCCAGTGCCAGATATATCGAAGTTTACGCAGTGCACATGTGGGACATTTCTAACGTGCCAATAATTCCAGGGTTAGAAGCATCCCAAACATTTCCAGTAATTATGCAAAGTCTATTTCAACGTGTGTGCATGTGTGCGTATCTGTGTGTGTGTGTGTGTGTCTGTATGTGTGTCTGTGTGTGTGTGTCTGTTTGTGTGTCTGTGTGTGTGTGCGTGTCTGTTTGTGTGTCTGTGTGTGTGTGTGTCTGTGTGTGTCTGTGTGCGTCTGTGTGTGTGTGCGTGTGTCTGTGTGTGTGTGGGAGTGGTGGTCAGCGCTACGCTGCGCTACGAACCTGGCGACCCGAGTTCGATTCCCGCCCACGGCCAACAGCAGTGACGATTATCTGAACCGGTCCTGGGCCTCCCCTAGGTCGACTCAGCCTCAAATGAATACCTGGTGCGATTTGTAAACGTCGCCACTGGGGAGACAAAGGCGGCCGGGCTTATTGTTGGCCACCCACCCCCTCGTGTGCCGTTCCGGCCTTCACAGGTGCTACTCGCTAACAGTCTGTTAAGGCTACACCACAGGGGATCTTTGTGTACACACACACACACACACGTGTGTGTGTACACACACACACACGTGTGTGTGTGTGTGTACACGTGCTTGCCGTTGCACGTCAACTCCGAGGGTGTTGTGCCAACACGACCTCCGCTCCTGGTGATCGGTCTCCTCCACGGGGTGTTGAGAAAACAACTTCCATCACATCGCCGTGTCGTCCCTCTCCATGACGACGGTGATCCCATGGTGATGGAGACGGTGGTGGTACCATGGTGACGATGGTGAACCCATGGTGATGGAGACGGTGGTGGTACCATGGTGACGATGGTGATCCCATGGTGATGGAGACGGTGGTGGTACCATGGTGACGATGGTGAACCCATGGTGATGGAGACGGTGGTGGTACCATGGTGAAGATGATCCCATGGTGATGGAGACGGTGGTGGTACCATGGTGACGATGGTGAACCCATGGTGATGGAGACGGTGGTGGTACCATGGTGAAGATGATCCCATGGTGATGGAGACGGTGGTGGTACCATGGTGACGATGGTGAACCCATGGTGATGGAGACGGTGGTGGTACCATGGTGACGATGGTGATCCCATGGTGATGGAGACGGTGGTGGTACCATGGTGACGATGGTGATCCCATGGTGATGGAGACGGTGGTGGTACCATGGTGATGGTGATCCCATGGTGATGGAGACGGTGGTGGTACCATGGTGATGGTGACGGTGATCCCATGGTGATGGAGACGCTGGTGCCTGTTTCTTGTTGCTCGTGTGCGTGGCTCTCTCTGACAATGACCATTCACCCTGCTGCCCCCTGCTGCCCCCTGCTGCCCCCTGCTGCCCCCCTGCTGCCCCCCTGCTGCCCCCTGCTGCCCCCTGCTGCCCCCTGCTGCCCCCCTGCTGCCCCCTGCTGCCCCCTGCTCCCCCCTGCTGCCCCCCCTGCTGCCCCCTGCTGCCCCCCCTGCTGCCCCCTGCTGCCCCCCTGCTGCCCCCCCTGCTGCCCCCTGCTGCCCCCTGCTGCCCCCCTGCTGCCCCCCCCCCGCTGCCCCCCCCTGCTGCCCCCCCTGCTGCCCCCCCTGCTGCCCCCTGCTGCCCCCCCTGCTGCCCCCTGTCTTTGTGGATGCAGTGGCCGCGGACTTCTGTGTCCACAACGGCACGACGATGGTCAAGGTGAGCGCCCTGGGCTCACCGCCCCCCCCCCCCCCTGGCCTGGGCGCCCTTCTGGGTGGCGAGTTTGTGAGGTCCACTCAGGGCCCTTGAGCACCCGCTTGAGGCTCTCTATGTGGGAGTCTGTGGGTCTCTGTGTGGTGAGTCTGTGGGTCTCTGTGTGAGTCTGTGGGTCTCTGTGCGAGTGTATGGTTCTCTGTGTGAGTCTATGGGTCTCTGTGTGAGTCTGTGGGTCTCTGTGTGAGTCTGTGGGTCTCTCTATGTGTGAGTCTGTGGGTCTCTCTATGTGTGAGTCTGTGGGTCTCTGTGTGAGTCTGTGGGTCTCTGTATGAGTCTGTGGGTCTCTGTGTGAGTCTGTGGGTCTCTGTGTGAGTCTGTGGGTCTCTGTGTGAGTCTGTGGGTCTCTGTGTGAGTTTGTCGGTCTCTGTGTGAGTCTGTGGGTCTCTGTGTGAGTCTGTGGGTCTCTGTGTCAGTCTGTGGGTCTCTATGTGAGCCTGTGGGTCTATGTGTGAGTCTGTGGCTCTCTGTGTGAGTCTGTGGGTCTCTGTGCGAGTCTGTGGGTCTCTGTGTGAGTCTGTGGGTCTCTGTGCAAGTCTGTGGGTCTATGTGTGAGTCTGTGGCTCTCTGTGTGAGTCTGTGGGTCTCTGTGCGAGTCTGTGGGTCTCTGTGTGAGTCTGTGGGTCTCTGTGTGAGTCTGTGGGTCTCTGTGTCAGTCTGTGGGTCTCTATGTGAGCCTGTGGGTCTATGTGTGAGTCTGTGGCTCTCTGTGTGAGTCTGTGGGTCTCTGTGCGAGTCTGTGGGTCTCTGTGTGAGTCTGTGGGTCTCTGTGCGAGTCTGTGGGTCTCTGTGTGAGTCTGTGGGTCTCTGTGCGAGTCTGTGGGTCTATGTGTGAGTCTGTGGCTCTCTGTGTGAGTCTGTGGGTCTCTGTGCGAGTCTGTGGGTCTCTGTGTGAGTCTGTGGGTCTCTGTGTGAGTCTGTGGGTCTCTGTGTGAGTCTATGGGTCTCTGTGTGAGTCTATGGGTCTCTGTGTGAGTCTATGGGTCTCTGTGTGAGTCTATGGGTCTGTGTGAGTCTACGGGTCTCTGTGTGAGTCTATGGGTCTCTGTGTGAGACTATGGGTCTGTGTGAGTCTACGGGTCTCTGTGTGAGTCTATGGGTCTCTGTGTGAGCGCTGTGCCGCGCCGTGCCGGCCTTCATCGCCGCTGCTCGCTAACGGCCCTTGCCCCAGCAGTCTGTCGAGGCTATACGGGGGAGAACCTTTGTCTCCGTGTTGCCAGGTCGGAGAGTCTCTACTGCTGGATGAGTGTCAGCGCTGCTCGTGCGAGAAGACGCGCGATGACTTGGGGCCAGGCTTCACCCTCACCTGCAGACGAACCAGGTGTCCCGTGTGTCCACAGGTGAGGCAGCAGCAGCAGTAGCAGCAGCAACAGCAGCTGTAGCAGCAGTAACAACATTGGCAGCAGTAGCAGCAGCAGCAGTAGCTGTAGCAGCAGTAACAACATTGGCAGCAGAAGCAGCAGCAGCAGTAGCTGTAGCAGCAGTAACAACATTGGCAGCAGAGGCAGCAGCAGCTGTAGCAGCAGCAGTCACAGCATTGGCAGCAGTAGCAGCAGCAGCAGCAGCTGTAGCAGCAGTAACAGCATTGGCAGCAATAGCAGCAGCTGTAACAGCAGTAGTAGCAGCAGCAGTAGCAGCAGTAACCGCAGTAGCAGCAGTAGCAGCAGCAGCTGTAGCAGCAGAAGCAGCTGTAGCAGCAGTCACAGCATTGGCAGCAGTAGCAGCTGTAGCAGCAGTAACAGCATTGGCAGCAGAGGCAGCAGCAGCTGTAGCAGCAGTAACAGCATTGGCAGCAGAAGCAGCAGCAGCTGTAGCAGCAGTAACAGCATTGGCAACAGAGGCAGCAGCAGCTGTAGCAGCAGTAACAGCATTGGCAGCAGTAGCAGCAGCAGCAGCTGTAGCAGCAGTCACAGCATTGGCAGCAGTAGTAGCAGCAGAGGCAGCAGCAGCTGTAGCAACAGTAACAGTATTGCAAGCAGCTGTAGCAACATTAGAAGCAGCAGTAGCAGAAGCAGCAGCAGCATTGACAGCAGTAGCAGAAGTAGTAGCAGCAGCAGCAGCTGTGGCAGCAGCAGCAGCTGTAGCAGCAGTAACAGCATTGGCAGCAGTAGTAGCAGCAGCAGCAGCTGTAGCAGCAGTAACAGCATTGGCAGCAGCAGCTGTAGCAGCAGTAACAGCATTGGCAGCAGTAGTAGCAGCAGCAGCTGTAGCAGCAGTAACAGCATTGGCTGCAGCAGCAGCTGTAGCAGCAGTAACAGCATTACAAGCAGCAGTAGCAACATTAGAAGCAGCAGTAGCAGAAGCAACAGCATTGACAGCAGTAGCAGAAGTAGTAGCAGCAGCAGAAGTAGTAGCAGCTTTATCAGCAGGAGTGAGTGGCGATGGTGAGTGGTGAGTGAGTGGTGAGTGAGTGGTGAAAGTGAGTGAGTGGTGAGTGAGTGGTGATGGTGAGTGAGTGGTGAGTGAGTGGTCATGGTGAGTGAGTGGTGAGTGGTGAGTGAGTGGTGAGTGAGTGGTGAGTGAGTGGCGAGTGGTGAGTGAGTGGCGTTGGTGAGTGGTGAGTGAGTGGTGAGTGAGTGGTGATAGTGAGTGGTGAGTGAGTGGTGAATGGTGATGGTGGGTGAGTGGTGAGTGAGTGGTGAGTGAGTGGTGATGGTGAGTGAGTGAGTGGTGATGGTGAGTGAGTGGTGAGTGGTGATGGTGAGTGAGTGGTGAAAGTGAGTGAGTGGTGAGTGAGTGGTGAGTGAGTAGTGATAGTGAGTGGTGAGTGAGTGGTGATGGTGAGTGAGTGGTGAGTGAGCGGTGAGTGAGTGGTGAGTGAGTGGTGATGGTGATTGAGTGGTGAAAGTGAGTGAGTGGTGAGTGAGTGAGTGAGTGATGGTGAGTGAGTGGTGAGTGAGTGGTGAAAGTGAGTGAGTGGTGAGTGAGTGGTGAGTGAGCAGTGAGTGAGTGGTGAGTGAGTGAGTGAGTGGTGAGTGAGTGGTGAAAGTGAGTGAGTGGTGAGTGAGTGGTGAGTGAGCGGTGAGTGAGTGGTGAGTGAGTGGTGAGTGAGTGGTGAGTGAGCGGTGAGTGAGTGGTGAGTGAGTGGTGAGTGAGTGGTGAAAGTGAGTGAGTGGTGAGTGAGTGGTGAGTGAGCGGTGAGTGAGTGGTGAGTGAGTGGTGAGTGAGTGGTGAGTGAGTGAGCGGTGAGTGAGTGGTGAGTGAGTGGTGAGTGAGCGGTGAGTGAGTGGTGAGTGAGTGGTGGTGAGTGGTGAGTGAGTGGTGAGTGAGTGGTGATGGTGAGTGAGTGGTGAAAGTGAGTGAGTGGTGAGTGAGTGGTGAGTGAGTGGTGAGTGGTGAGTGAGTGGTGAGTGAGCGGTGAGTGAGTGGTGGTGAGTGGTGGTGAGTGAGTGGTGAGTGAGTGGTGAGTGAGTGGTGAGTGAGTGAGTGGTGAGTGAGTGGTGAAAGTGAGTGAGTGGTGAGTGAGTGGTGAGTGAGCGGTGGGTGAGTGGTGAGTGAGTGGTGAGTGAGTGGTGAGTGAGTGAGCGGTGAGTGAGTGGTGAGTGAGTGGTGAGTGAGCGGTGAGTGAGCGGTGAGTGAGTGGTGGTGAGTGGTGAGTGAGTGGTGAGTGAGTGAGTGGTGAGTGAGTGGTGATGGTGAGTGAGTGGTGAAAGTGAGTGGTGAGTGAGTGGTGAGTGAGTGGTGAGTGAGCGGTGAGTGAGTGGTGGTGAGTGAGTGGTGAGTGAGTGGTGAGTGAGCGGTGAGTGAGTGGTGAGTGGTGAAAGTGAGTGAGTGAGTGAGTGGTGAGTGAGTGGTGAGTGAGTGGTGATGGTGAATGAGTGAGTGGTGAGTGAGCGGTGAGTGAGTGGTGAGTGAGTGGTGAAAGTGAGTGAGTGGTGAGTGAGTGGTGAGTGAGCAGTGAGTGAGTGGTGAGTGGTGAAAGTGAGTGAGTGGTGAGTGAGTGGTGAGTGAGTGAGTGGTGAGTGAGTGGTGAGTGAGTGAGTGGTGAGTGAGTGGTGAGTGAGTGGTGAGTGGTAGTGAGTGAGTGGTGAGTGAGTGGTGAGTGAGTGAGTGATGAGTGAGTGGTGAGTGAGTGAGTGGTGATGGTGAGTGAGTGGTGATGGTGAGTGAGTGGTGAGTGAGTGGTGGTGAGTGAGTGGTGAGTGAGTGGTGAGTGGTGGTGAGTGAGTGGTGAGTGAGTGGTGAGTGAGTGGTGAGTGAGCGGTGAGTGAGTGGTGATGGTGAGTGAGTGAGTGGTGAGTGAGTGGTGAGTGAGTGGTGAGTGATTGGTGGTGAGTGAGCGGTGAGTGGTGGTGAGTGAGTGGTGAGTGAGTGTTGAGTGAGTGGTGAGTGAGTGGTGGTGAGTGAGTGGTGAGTGAGTGGTGAAAGTGAGTGAGTGGTGAGTGAGTGGTGAGTGAGTGGTGAGTGAGCGGTGAGTGGGTGGTGAAGGTGAGTGGTGAAGGTGAGTGAGTGGTGAGTGAGTGGTGAGTGAGTGGTGGTGAGTGAGTGGTGAGTGAGTGGTGAGTGAGTGAGTGGTGAGTGAGTGGTGAGTGAGTGAGTGGTGAGTGAGTGGTGAGTGAGTGGTGATGGTGAGTGAGTGGTGAGTGAGTGGTGAGTGAGTGGTGGTGAGTGAGTGGTGAGTGAGTGAGCGGTGAGTGAGTGGTGAAAGTGAGCGAGTGGTGAGTGAGTGGTGAGTGAGCGGTGAGTGAGTGGTGAGTGAGTGGTGAAAGTGAGTGAGTGGTGAGTGAGTGAGCGGTGAGTGAGTGGTGAGTGAGTGGTGAGTGAGTGGTGGTGAGTGAGTGGTGAGTGAGTGGTGAATGAGTGGTGAGTGAGTGGTGAGTGAGTGGTGGTGAGTGAGTGGTGGTGAGTGAGTGGTGGTGAGTGAGTGGTGAGTGAGTGGTGGTGAGTGAGTGGTGAGTGAGTGGTGAGTGAGTGGTGGTGAGTGAGTGGTGAGTGAGTGGTGAGTGAGTGGTGGTGAGTGAGTGGTGAGTGAGTGGTGAGTGAGTGGTGGTGAGTGGTGGTGAGTGAGTGGTGAGTGAGTGGTGAGTGAGTGGTGGTGAGTGAGTGGTGAGTGAGTGGTGAATGAGTGGTGATGGTGAGTGAGTGGTGAGTGAGTGGTGAGTGAGTGGTGGTGAGTGAGTGGTGAGTGAGTGGTGAGTGAGTGGTGGTGAGTGAGTGGTGAGTGAGTGGTGAATGAGTGGTGATGGTGAGTGAGTGGTGAGTGAGTGGTGATGGTGAGTGAGTGAGTGAGTGGTGAGTGGTGGTGAGTGAGTGGTGAGTGAGCGGCGAGTGCCACTGTGGTTCAGGGCTACGAGGCGGTGAAGCCGGCTGGCTCTTGTTGTGGCACGTGCACCCCTACGGCGTGCCTCATCCGCCTCAACAACGGCTCCAGCACCTGGCTGAAGGTGAGCGACTCCTCACTCACTCACCTGTGACTCATTCACCTGTGACTCATTCACCTGTGACTCATTCGCCTGTGACTCGCTCACCTGTGACTCATTCGCCTGTGACTCATTCGCCTGTGACTCACTCACCTGAGACTCACTCACCTGAGACTCACTCACCTGAGACTCACTCACCTGTGACTCACTCACCTGAGAATCACTCACCTGAGACTCACTCACCTGTGACTCACTCACCTGAGACTCACTCACCTGTGACTCACTCACTTGAGACTCACTCACTTGTGACTCACTCACCTGAGACTCACTCACCTGTGACTCACTCACTTGAGACTCACTCACTTGTGACTCACTCACCTGAGACTCACTCACCTGTGACTCACTCACCTGTGACTCACTCACCTGTGACTCATTCACCTGTGACTCATTCACCTGTGACTCATTCGCCTGTGACTCACTCACCTGTGACTCACTCGCCTGTGACTCGTTTACCTGTGACTCGTTCACCTGTGACTCACTCACCTGAGAATCACTCACCTGTGACTCGCTCACCTGTGACTCACTCGCCTGTGACTCACTCACCTGTGACTCACTCACCTGTGACTCATTCACCTGTGACTCATTCACCTGTGACTCATTCGCCTGTGACTCACTCGCCTGTGACTCGTTCACCTGGAACTCGTTCACCTGTGACTTGTTCACCTGTGACTCACTCACCTTTGACTTACTCACCTGAGACTCACTCACCTGAGACTTCCTCACCTGTGACTCACTCACCTGAGACTCACTCACCTGAGACTCGCTCACCTGTGACTCACTCACCTGAGACTCACTCACCTGAGACTCGCTCACCTGTGACTCACTCACCTGAGACTCACTCACATAGGACTCATTCACCTGTGACTCACTCACCTGTGACTCACTCACCTGTGACTCACCTGTGACTCACTCACCTGAGACTTACTCACCTGTGACTCACTCACCTGAGACTCACTCACCTGAGACTCAGTCACCTGTGACTCACTCACCTGAGACTCACTCACCTGAGACTCACTCACCTGTGACTCACTCACCTAGGACTCACTCACCTGAGACTCACTCACCTGGGACTCACTCACCTGTGACTCACTCACCTAGGACTCACTCACCTGAGACTCACTCACCTGAGACTCACTCACCTAGGACTCACTCACCTGAGACTCACTCACCTGAGACTCACTCACTTGTGACTCACTCACCTGTGACTCACTCCCCTAGGACTCACTCACCTGAGACTCACTCACCTGGGACTCACTCACCTGTGACTCACTCACCTGTGACTCACTCACCTGAGACTCACTCCCCTGTGACACACACCTGTGACTCACTCACCTGTGACTCACTCACCTAGGACTCACTCACCTGAGACTCACTCACCTGTGACTCACTCACCTAGGACTCACTCACCTGAGACTCACCCACCTAGGACTCACTCACCTGAGACTCACTCACCTGAGACTCACTCACCTAGGACTCACTCACCTGAGACTCACTCACCTGAGACTCACTCACCTAGGATTCACTCACCTGAGACTCACTCACCTGAGACTCGCTCACCTGAGACTCACTCACCTGAGACTCACTCACCTGAGACTCACTCACCTGTGACTCGCTCACCTAGGACTCACTCACCTAGGACTCACCTGAGACTCACTTACCTGAGACTCACTCACCTGAGACTCACTCACCTGAGACTCGCTCACCTGTGACTCGCTCACCTGAGACTCACTCACCTGTAACTCACTCACCTGTGACTCACTCACCTAGGACTCACTCACCTGTGACTCACTCACCTGAGACTCACTCACCTGTCAGTGACTCGCTCTCTCACCTGTGAGTCACTCGCTAAGCACGACCTCCCCGTGCACCCCTCCGTGCCCCCCACGTGTCCCCGTGCCACCCTTGACCCCGTGCCCCCCCCCCCCCCCCAGGTGAACGGCTCCCTCACGGTGGGCTGCGAGACTTTCCAGTGCCGACTCGTGGAGGGCGGCTCCCTGGGGTGGCAGCGGCGCAGCACCGTGTGCCCCCCACTCCAGCGCGACGCCTGCATCGCCCAGGGGGTAACGAGCGGTCGCCGTGGTGACGCGCGGTCGCCGTGGTAACGCGGGGTAACACGGGATACCCCTGATAACGCGTGGTCGCCGGGGTAACGCGGGGTAACCGACGGAGGCTATGGAAGGGCTTTAGGGGTTAGCGCTTAGTGTGTAATGGTTATGGGTGGGGTTTTACGGTTCGGGGTTTAGGGTTAAAGGTTTAAGGTTAGGGGTGGCGTTCATGACTATGGGTTTAGGGTTATGGATTAGGTTTAGAGGCCGTGCTGCCGTGTACGTTATCCGCCTGGCGCTCCGTTCGTTGTTGTTGCGAGCACGTGGCCGGGACGGCACACGACGGGGTGGGTGGTCAGCACCACGCCCGGCCGCCTTTGTCTCCCCCTAGTCACGATGCTTACTGCACGTGCCACCAGGTACTCACACACACACACACACCTCTACACAAAGACAAAGCTCCCCCGTGTAGCCTTAACCGACTGTTGGGGCAAGCGCTGTTAGCAGCACCTGTGAAGGCCGGCACTGTGGCGCACGACGGGGGTGGGGCGGCCATCACCACGCCCGGGGCCGCCTTTGTCTCCCCCAGTGGCGATGTTCACTACACACCGCAAGGTACTCGCCTTGAGGCCGAGTCGACCTAGGGGAGGCCCCAGGACCGGATTCACACAGTCGTCACCGGTGCTGCTGCCGGCCGGCTGCTTCGGCCCGCTCCCTGCGTGCACGCACAGCCGGTGCCGTGAACCCTGACCGTGTCACCCTTCTTGTCGCCGCAGGGGCAGATACAGCAGATGGAAGGCACGTGCTGCGAACACTGTAAGTATTCCGTGGTGGGAGACAAAGGCGGCCGGGCGTGGCGTTGGCCCCCCCGACCCCTCGCGTGCCATTCCGGCCTTCGTAGGTGCTGCTCGCTAACAGCGCTTGCCCCAACAGTCCGTCGAGGCTACACGGGGGGACCCTTGTCTTCGTAGCGGGGAGCGGTGGCGCAGCGGTGAGCTCGCCGTCGGCGGCAGTGACGATCGTCCGAGCCGGGTCCTGGAATTCCCCCTCGGTTGACTCAGCCTCAAATGAGTACCTGGTGCGGTGTGTAGTAAACATCGCCACTGGGGAGACAAAGGCGGCCGGGCGTGGTGCTGGCCACCCACCCCCTTCGTGTGCCACGGTGCCGGCCTTCGTAGGTGCTGCTACTCGCTAACAGCACTTGCCCCAACAGTCTGTCAAGGCTACGCGGGGGATCTTAGTCTTGGGTTGCGACGCTACACACGTGGCTGCCTGTGATCGCGCGCTGTGCGGGGTTGGTGAATCACTCACGGATGGGCTGTGAAAGTCCCTCCCCTACCCGTGAGTGGGCGCTAAGGAGGAGCCGTAACCCCCTGGGCTCTGCCAGGAGAAAGCAGCCGAGCAAACAATGTGAACGCCACCTGTTACATCTGTACGGGGATAGAGCGGTGCGCCCTCGCACGCACGCTTGGGGTTTCCTCCGGGTGCGCCAGTTCCGCTCATAAACCGCTCATTGATTGGCCAATTCCGCCTCACGCCGTCGCAGATGTTGATGTGTGGCTGGTTGCTTGTGCAGGCTCGGTGAAGGAGGAGGAATGCAAGAAGGTGCAGGGAAGGCTGAAGTTCCTGACGATCGGAGACTGCAGCACGCTGGCCCCCACGCCCATCAGCTACTGCGAGGTGAGACAACGTCGCCATCTTTGTCATCGTCGTCGTCATCTCGATCATTATTGTTGTCATCATTATTGTCGTCATCGTCACCATCGTCGTCATTAACATTGTTGGGGTCATCGTCGTCGTCATTAACATTGTTGGGGTCATCGTCGTCGTCATTAACATTGTTGGGGTCATCGTCATTGTCGTCATCATCGTCGTTATCGTAATGATTATTGTGACCATCATTGTTGTTGTCATCATTATCATCATCATCATCGTCGTTATTGTCATCATCGGCATTGTTGGGGTCATCATCATCATCATCGTCATAAGCTGCCGATGACGTTAAAAAAAACACTGCCTTTACTGCCACGCCACCACCCCGCAGGGTCGCTGCTCCACCCAAGCCATCTACTCGGTGCACACGCAGTCGGTGACGGGGGCCTGCCGGTGCTGCGCCGCCGCTAGTACGCGTGCGCGCCCCGTCCTGCTGGCGTGCGCCAACGGCTCGTCCGTCCAGCACGACGTTCTGGACGCGGTGGAGTGCACGTGCGAGGAGCGCACCTGCGGCGAGTGAGAGCCACCGCAGTCCATCGCCGCTTGAAGCCCCCCCCCCACCCCCACCCCCCCCCCCCCCCCCCCCCCCCCACCCCGTGTCAGCCAGCGTCCTCCGCTCGTTAACGATGCTTGTAACAGTAACAATAACGATGACGAGGGACCGCTCGGCCTCCTGTAGGCCAGGCGAGGGTAGTTTACGTTTCCTAGCCACCGCGGCGCCCGGACAAACGACGTGAGAGGGGAGTCGTGGTGGTATTTGCGCGGCTAACAGGAGTACAAACAACACCACCGCCACGGTATTGGCCAGGGTCGCCTACCGGGATCAAATCACCGACTTCTATCAACAACAACGCGCGGCGAACGCGATGCTAAGACGAAACTAAAACGATTGAACGGTGTTTTTTTTTTCCCATTGTGTGTTTCTGTTACGGTCTGTCCACCCAAATAAACTGCTTGTTGCACAGACAATATTCTAATCGTCCATTATCTAAATTCAATTGGAAAGTTCAACCTCTGTAGGTCCCGGCCCTTCCTATTTAGACCTCGCCCCTTCCTCTTCAGACCCCGCCCCTTCATCTTTAGACCCCGCCCCTTCCTCTTTAGACCCCGACCATTCCTCTTTAGACCCCAACCCTTCCTCTTTAGACCCCGATCCTTCCTCTTTAGACCCCGACCCTTCCTCTTTAGACCCCGACCCTTCCTCATTAGACCCCGCCCCTTCCTCTTTAGACCCCGCCCCTTCCTCTTTAGACCCCGACCCTTCCTGATTCTGCCCCCCTCCCTGCACACGCGGTTGGGCTGCTTTTGGGTAGTGGGGAGTATCAGTGCTGGGGGCACTGGATGCAGTGGTACCACAATGAAACTCTGTCGTAGATAATCAATAGATGAATGATAGGTGGGTTTATTTTCTACAGTGTCACTCGTGTAGAACATTATTATCATGATATATCAAGCTTGTTAACCCAGGAAAGCCTCACTGAGTCGTCACGGCTCAAGGTCAAGTTCATACAGACCTCTGGGGCGATTTGTTGTTAGTGAGCAAGCAGCTGTGCATATACTCGCCACACACACTCACCTACACACGGACACACACACACACACACTCACCTACACACGGACACACACACACTCACCTACACACGGACACACACACACACGAATAGCCCTAACAAGGCTGTTGGGGCAAGCGCTGGTAGCGAGCACCTCAGAAGGATGTGAATGAGCAAGAATGCTTGGTGTGTCCTTGCGTGGAAGCTTGCACAACGAAGACAAAGATACCCCTAATAGCCTTAATACACAAAGATAAAGATGCCCCTGTATAGTCTTAAGAGACTGTTGGGACCAAGTGCTGTTAGCGAGTAGCACCTAATGAAGGCCTTAACACACACACACGCACACAGACACCAGCACGAATGCACACGCCTATGTATGCATGTAGTCCACGTTTATGAATGAATGCTGTAACGTTGCTGCACTACCGCGGTTGCTACCGTAATGTAGCAAAGTCGTTGTTTGTATCAGCGTTCAGTAAACGTAACTGCGGAAGTCCCGAGTGTCCTCGTCGCGTGGCTCGAGATCGCGTTTTGCTCGCCCTTTGCTTCTAAAATCTGTCGTACGCGTGGCACACTCACACAACAACACAACAACAACCTCTACACACACCTCTACACACACCTCTACATACACACACACACATCTACACACCTCTACATACACACACACACACACCTCTACACACACCTCTACATACACACACACACACCTCTACACACACCTCTACATACACACACACACACACCTCTACACACACCTCTACATACACACACACCTCTACACACACCTCTACACACACCTCTACATACACACACACCTCTACACACACCTCTACACACACCTCTACATACACACACACACCTCTACACACACACCTCTACACACACCTCTACATACACACACACACACCTCTACACACACCTCCACACACCTCTACACACATCTACACACTCACACAACAACACAACAACAACCTCTATACACACCTCTACACACACCTCTACACACACCTCTATACACACCTCTACATACACACACATCTACACACCTCTACATACACACACACCTCTACACACACCTCTACATACACACACACCTCTACACACACCTCTACATACACACACCTCTACACACACACCTCTACACACACCTCTACCCACACCTCTACACACCTCTACACACACCTCTACACACTCACACAACAACAACCTCTACACACACCTCTACATACACACACCTCTACACACACCTCTACACACACACACACCTCTACACACGCACCTCTACACACACCTCTACACACACCTCTGCATACACACACAACAACACAACCGCCATTCGCCACTAAGTGGCGGTGACGTCACCACGACGCTTGTGCCAGGCCATGTGCACCTTGAGGCCACGTGAAGTGTCGAACGCCCGCTGGCAGGAGGTCACGGGGCAGACCCAGCAGGTGCCACGGGTCGACTGACTGAGATGACTGGCTGATGCACCACCCGTGCCCCCTACTGTGCCAACCTGCTGTGCTTTAGCCACCCCGGCGACTGCCGCCAACTGCCCAGCAGCATCCTTCACAAACCTCTTGACACTGCTGGGACCGGTCATCAGCAAGTCCAATAAACTCCACATCCTGTATAGCTATGTGGGCCTTAACTGGAAAAATAGTTGAAGAGTTTCGTTTTTCCTCCTCTGCTCCATCTCTCCCCGCTGCTCATCTCTGCGTCGTCTCGGGGACTTCTGTCCCGGCCTCCCTCTCCGGCTCTCTCTCTCTCATCCCTGACATGAATTACAGGCTTGGCTTTACCGCGGGTGCACGTGTGCGTGTGTGTGCACGTGTTGCACGTGTGCGTGTGTGTGTGTGTACACGCACACGTACAACACGTGTGTGTACACGTGTGCGTGTACACACACGTGTGCACACACACGTGTACACGTATGTGTGTACACGTGTTGCACGTGTGTGTGTACACGTGTGCGTGCAACACGTGTGTGTACACGTGTTGCACGTGTGTGTGTACAAGTGTTGCACGTGTGTGTGTACACACACGTGCAACACGTGTGTGTACACACGTGTTGCACGTGTACGTATAGGATCGCGAGACGAGGGGTGTCGCAATGGGTAGCTGTCCCCGTCTCCTCCGTTGCCAAGCTCACGACGGACTCCGACAACGACGATAAACAAAGGGAGGGGGGGAGGAGGAGAGAGTTGAACAACAACAACAAGACGAGCGAGAGACGTGGATAGCACGCTCCACCCCGCACCTGCTGGGCGTGAGTGCTCCACGTGTTTGCACTGAGGACACCCCTCAGGCGAGCTGCCCCTAACTGTGGGGGGGGGGGTGGGGGGTGAGTTCAAGGTCAAGAGGTCATCGTGGCCGAAGCTGCTTTTGTTATACACGCGGTGGCTCAGGAAACGGTAACGACCTCGCCTGGTGCGCAGAAGGTCGTGGGTTCGATCCCGACCCCCGGGCGATGCCTGCTATTGTATAAGTGGAGTTTGCATTTTTTTCATCATCATCATCATCATCGTGGTGGCACTGAGATGTTAACCGCCTCGGATTCCTCCCGAAGTCTAAATAAAGATGTCTCTCTCCATGAGTCTGACGCGAGCGATAACCGGGTTCACGTGGAACGTTGCTCCAACGTTAGCCCGGCATTGGCGTGGTGACTGAGTAAGGCATCACCACTGTGAGTTGATGTGCACTGGTGATGAAATGAAGAGGCCATGGTTCAGCATATCGTTACACTCAGCACTCACCACTCCTCACCCTCACCACTCCTTACCACTCACCCACGTAACTCACCCTGCCCACCCTCCCCCTACTCTCCCCCCCCCCGTTCCCCCCTCCCCCAGGGCCCCGCTAATGAGTGGTGCTGCTTGTGACCGAGGCGCGTAATTAGCGCCTCGATCACTTCCCCGGCGCGGCGGAGGTGATGATGATGGCTGCTAACTCCTCAGGATAATAATAATGATGATGATGTATAATAATGATGATGATGGTGGAGGAGGATGGAGGAGGATGATGGTGAGCTCTGCTCACTGATGATGGCTGCTAACTCCTCAGGATAATAATGATGATGGATAATAATGATGATGGTGGAGGAGGATGGAGGAGGATGATGGTGAGCTCTGCTCACTGATGATGATGATGGCTGCTAACTCCTCAGGATAATAATAATGATGATGATGGATAATAATGATGATGATGGTGGAGGAGGATGATGGTGAGCTCTGCTCACTGATGATGATGATGGCTGGTAACGCCTCAGGATAATAATAATAATAATGATGATGATGGATAATAATGATGATGATGGTGGAGGAGGATGATGGTGAGCTCTGCTCACTGATGATGATGATGGCTGCTAACTCCTCAGAATAATAATGATGATGATGATGGATAATAATGATGATGATGGTGGTGGAGGAGGATGGAGGAGGATGGAGGAGGATGATGGTGAGCTCTCCTCACTGATGATGATGGCTGCTAACTCCTCAGGATAATAATAATGATGATGATGGATAATAATGATGATGGTGGTGGTGGAGGAGGAGGATGGAGGAGGATGGAGGAGGATGATGGTGAGCTCTGCTCACTGATGATGATGGCTGCTAACTCCTCAGGATAATAATAATAATAATGACGATGATGGATAATAATGATGATGATGGTGGAGGAGGATGTAGGAGAATGATGGTGAGCTCTGCTCACTGATGATGATGATGATGAAGCGCAGGAGGAGGAGGAAGACAGATGAGGAGGTGGACGCGGAGGAGGAGTGCTAGAATGGTGATGAGAAGGGAGGAGGGAATGATGAGAAGGAGGAGGAGAATGATTTTGTGTAGCAGTGGGGGGAGGAGGCAAGGAGGAGGGCGAGGGGGGCGAGGGGGGCGAGGGGGGCGAGTTGGGTCGCTGGCGGAGGAGGCAGAGCGAGAGTCGCAGCTCTTCGCAGCTCTCACCAGGCACGCCCTCTCTGTCTCTCTCTGTCTCTCTCTGTCTCTCTGTGTCTCTGTGTGTCTCTGTGTCTCTGTCTGTGTCTCTCTGTGTGTGTCTGTGTCTCTGTCTGAGTCTCCCTGTGTGTGTCTGTGTCTCTGTCTGAGTCTCCCTGTGCGTGTCTGTCTCTCTGTGTGTCTCTGTGTCTCTGTCTGAGTCTCCCTGTGTGTGTCTGTGTCTCTGTCTCTGTGTCTCTGTCTGAGTCTCCCTGTGCGTGTCTGTGTCTCTGTCTCTGTGTCTCTGTATCTCTGTCTGAGTCTCCCTGTGTGTGTCTGTGTCTCTGTCTCTGTGTCTCTGTCTGAGTCTCCCTGTGCGTGTCTGTGTCTCTGTCTCTGTGTTTCTGTGTCTCTGTCTGAGTCTCCCTGTGTGTGTCTGTGTCTCTGTCTCTGTGTCTCTGTCTGAGTCTCCCTGTGCGTGTCTGTGTCTCTGTCTCTGTGTCTCTGTGTCTCTGTCTGAGTCTCCCTGTGTGTGTCTGTGTCTCTGTCTCTGTGTCTCTGTCTGAGTCTCCCTGTGTGTGTCTGTCTCTGTGTCTCTGTCTGTCTCTGTCTGTGTCTGTGTCTTTGTCTCTGTGTGTCTGTCTGTGTCTCTGTGTTGCTGTGTGTGTCTCTGTGTGTCTGTATCTCTGTGTTGCTGTCTCTGTGTCTCTGTCTCTGTGTTGCTGTGTCTGTGTATCTCTCTGTCTCTTTTACTCTCCCCGTGTCTCTATCACTCACATCTGTCATCTCCCCCGTATCTCACTCTATCTCCTTATCTCCATCACCCCGTATCTCACTATATATCTCTCTCCGTATCTCAATCTCCCCGTATCTCTCTCTTCCCCATATCCATCATCTCCCCGTGTATTCCCCTCTTTCCCTTCCTCCTCTTCCCCCGGATCTCCCTCTCATCTCCTCCCTTCGGGTGTATCTCTCTCAATATCTCACCACACGGACCTTACCACCCTGCTGTGCGTGTCTAAGTGTGTGTGTGTTTTCCATCACCAGGGCATGCTCATGAGACCATCTGCCATGGGGAGCTGGAACCTGCCGAGCGCCATCCGCTCCTGTAGCAGCGCCACGTGCTCCGTGGGTGAGAGACTCCGCGCGCGGACACGAACGCACTGGCAGGCGCTCCGCCACACACGCACACACTTGCACACACGCACACACGCACACACGCACGCACACACGCACGCACACACACTCGCACACACACTCGCACACACACTCGCACACACACTCGCACACACACTCGCACACACACTCGCACACACACTCGCACACACACTCGCACACACACTCGCACACACACTCGCACACACACTCGCACACACACTCGCACACACACTCGCACACACACTCGCACACACACTCGCACACACACTCGCACACACACTCGCACACACACTCGCACACACACTCGCACACACACTCGCACACACACTCGCACACACACTCGCACACACACTCGCACACACACTCGCACACACACTCGCACACACACTCGCACACACACTCG